GCAATCCCACGTATAGCTACATAAAAATTGTATGGTAATACATTTAAACATGGATGATTTGATGGATCAACAAGTCTATGATTTGGGTCAGACAGTGCAGCTTGGAGAAATTTGGGAGTTCGACTAATTGTAGTTGGTCGACTAAGATCAGCAGGGTTTCCAATAGTTTGTAACAGTCTAAACCAACTTTGAGCTATTGTGTGATTAGTCATTCCAGATGGTATCAGGTGAATGTCTTCATTAGCTAAAATATAAAAATAATTTGATTTTCCAAGTTGTTAATCAAATCATAAATTATACAATAGTGAATTCTCCGGGCATGGTATGCATTTAYAGCTTGTCTATGAATTACAAAAACCATTTTATCATAAATCATTGGTTATATTACATATTTTATTACAATAAAAATAATAAATGACAATAATAATTACAATTCAATTTCTATTTTAATTGATAACTGATATGTATTATTATTATCATATCTTTTACTAGCAGATCATGTGAGCTAGCGCTATATAGCGCTTGTTATTACAGATACATATTGGCTGAACCAAGAACCATTTTACCAAGTATTATATGAAAATATTTTCTACTAGGTTTTATTGGAATTTAAGGTACTTACTACCTATTGAATTCAATTGCACTTTAGAGATAACTCAATTTATATAATTTTACTTATACCAAATACAAGAGAATGATAAAATATGTATTAATAATTATAAATTAGCTTGAGCATACTCATGCTTAGAAGTCAGAATTCACCACTGAATTCATAAAAGCTGCACATACGTATTTTTAGCTGTGGAAAACCAGGACCATACATGAATGTCAGTACACGAGCAGTAAGTGCTAAGTTTATACGATTCCATTGATGAATCAAAGCAGTACGATGGCGCCAAGTGACTGCCATTTCTCGCAATGTTTTCCATAGTGAAGGTGAAGGAAAACAACGTACACAAGCAACAAGCCATACTTCTATAAGAACGCTTAATACTCGTTCACATAACTCCTCTCCAACATCCTCTGTAAAAATTAAATATCAATAATAATAATTAAAAATAATCGAGTTTGAAATGATTTGAAAATCTTGACAAATAGAACTTTTTCTTGCCCTTTGAAGCATTTAAAAGTTGTATTTGAGACATATAACTCAAAACATACATAAGTCAATTTTATTTTATTCCTCTTAAAATTTAAGTTATTATGATTTGACTGTATTATATTTTATGCAATAAAAATTAACCAAATCAAATATAGTAAAAATATTTYAAAATACCTTTTACAGTTGGTGGAGCTAACAAGGCATCATTGATGGCCAGAAGAAATAGCAACAAAGCTTCCCAAGTTTCTGGCTCAATAATTTTAGATGTTCTTGACAAATCATGCAATGTTCTTAAGACACGATGGCACAAGACTGCTTGGCGATTAATTGTGTCAGTACCTTAAAAAAAAATATATATAATTATGAATTAGTACAAAACAATTATAAATAAAACCTAAAATTTAAACAATATTAAAGGTACTATAATTTTATTTAACCTATATTATTTACAACATTTATACAATTTCTTACCAATATTTAAATATAAAAATGTCCAGACTTGTAACAAAGAAAAAAAGACAATTTTTTTCTTAGTATTATATTAATTGTAACAAATTGATAAAATAAGTATACCCTTAACTCTTAAGGCATGTTAATTCATTAAAATACTTATAATAAAATTCAATTGATTTACCTTCTCCTTTTCGGGGTACAAATAAATTATAGAAATGTGAAATTATTTTTCTAGCATATAGATTTGGATCGTTGCATACTGGTTTTGGAACKGATAGTTTTGGTACTTCATATAACGCTGAAAGCCAATCACAATAAATATGAACACAATCTCTAATTGTATCATGTTCAGACAGTGGTAAGCTTAAACCATAACAAATAACCTAAATTAAACACAGTATTAGTTAAAATCTTATGTTATTTGTTTTTAAATTTACTGACTTCCATACACCAGATCACTTCATTGTCTTTGACAAGTTTACTTGGTTCAGGTGGATGAGTTATACCTAAATTTGATGATAGTTGTTTGATGACTGACAACACAACTTCCTTGCCTGAACCTGCTGGGAACTTACTTAAAACACTTTGACCAAATTCGCCACAGTTTTGAACTGCCGAACTCAGTGACGCCCATTCACAATACATTCCAGAACGTCCACCAGTACCTTCCTAACCAACATAGAGATCATAATTTCAGAATATTTTTATTAGAGATAAAATACCTAACATCATATGACACACATCMGTTACTATCATTTAAGTTCATAAATATAATCAATTTTATKCTCAATTATTATTTTTGATTTATTATGGACTATCAAAAACATTACTAAAAATAAGGGAAAAATAATTTTAATTTTATAGAATGGTAAATATTTTTACTACTTCTACTGCATCTTATGGGTGTACTTCTATAGTTGCAATTTTTTAGTAGCAAATATTATTGAATACATAAAATTATACAATTTTGAAACTAACAATGGCGTTTAAAACAGACTGAAGGATATATAAACATAGTAGTAATAGTAATACATTTGTATTAGTACCTTCCAGTTCACTCTGTTGAACACTTCTAAATTCATATGTCAAAAATGTTGAATATCTGTCACCACAATATTGTCACTTGAGTATGTTTAACATACTTTTATTCTACAAGTCTTTGAAACATAAACCGTTCAACAAAGTACAAACCACACTCGAAATTTAAATAGACAAT